ACCAATGTTTTGAGTCATAACTGTTAAAAGATGTTTTACATTCTCTGCTTATTGTTTTTTTTTATATATAAAAATAAATACTAGAACTACTGATCCTAAACAGATCTCCAATGCCATGTTTTTAGTTGTAAATATGTATTCCCTATGGTTCAAGTAACTTTGTGAGCTTTACAGTGTGATAGTAGCTTATCTTGGTTTAGTGCCCATCAAGTGAGCCCATAGTAAGCTGTTCTTCATATCAGCAGATGCTTTGACTCTCTGAACATATTGTCAGCATTTGTATAAAGGCAGGCATACATTAAAAGAAGCAATTTGAGTGTTCTATTTGCAATTAAAATATTTCCAAGCAGTTTTTAATAAAGAAGGACCAGGAAGTAGTTTTTGTTGCTCTGGGTTAAACATTAATAGGTTGTGGTAAATTTCCTTCATCCATTGGAGACGAGACAGTTGACACAGCAGGCAATGGAGAGGAGTAGAGCATATTCTGCAATATAGGTACAAGTAAAACTGTCTGGAGAAGTCAGAGACATTACTTTATTACAGAGATTTGCATTTCCAACTTGAATTCTTCAAGTTGGAAGCTGGTTGGAATCTTTTGTTGTTTTTAGGGTTTCAATGATAAACAACGTACTAAATTTTATAGCACAGCAGTCCAGACTCTGGCAAAGCAAACCTTTTAAGTTAGTTCTTACAGCCATTCAGATATGGATTTGATGGGGTTCTTTGGACCTTTGTTAGCTTCCTAACTTTAATGTACTTGACATAACGTTAAAAGCAAGAAGAGGGGAGACCAATTGATGGATTCCTCCTGTTACAAGTTGCTCAAAATCAGATTTACCAAGAGAACCCCAGACCATCAGTCTGCCACCAGATTATTTTCAGCAGTCTAACATGGTGGTGGGCCACCACCATGTTAGACTGCTGAAAATAATCTTTTTGTGACATGCAGCTTTGGCACCACATGTTACTGCTCAATTAGCTTTACCTAAGTATATTTTTTACACATTTCGGAAATAATTAAGATGTTTTCTGGAAAAATGTTTTGTTCTTATTGTGACCAATCATCTTGCTTGAGAAAAGAGAGGCCGGAAGGGCTTTAGATATTGTTTTGTGGTTCTCCACAGCTCCTGCATATGTTTTCTAAGCTCTCCTGAAGTAATTTTGTTCATAAGGTTAGCAACTGCTCCATGTTTTCTCTACTGGTAAATTTTGAATTTCATTGTAGTTTATATCAATCTGAATGTATTTGTAAGGTTTATTCAATGATGATTATAAAATTAATGTCTGTGTGTGCTTATGAAACATTTGTGCAAGGGGATGCTCCACTGTGTCTTGTGATTCAGTCAGGAGACCATCCTGCCTTGTCATTCTGGTGGAGCATCCTGTCTTTATGAACTGATCAATTGTTCTGTCAGAACAAATACTGTTTTGTAACCATGTGTTATGTTCTGTTAATAAAAGACGGCTGCAGGAGAGGATTTGGAGAAAGAAAGCTTGAAGTTGGGTTGGGCTTTTTCTTTCCACTCCTGCAGAAGTTGCTTGAATCTCTTTCCTGTGTAGACTCAAGTTCTTCTTTTACAAAACCTACATTTTCTGAACCTAACAGTATTTAATGAGTTTATTATGCTATTCACATTGTTAGATTTAAACAATTCAGTTTTGAATATTTCTCAGTTCTACAGGTATATCAGTAATAAAAACAAGTTATGTCTAATTTGAATTCTTAATGTAACAGGTTAGGGTATTCCATGCTTATTTGTCCTGCTTTTCATATTTATTTATTTAGGTTTATCTGAAGCATTTAATTGTGAACACCAAAAATTGTGATTGAATAAATCTGTAAGGGTAATGTTATATATATATTTTTACCTTTAAGCTGAATCTGCTTGGTGGCAGGTTAGCACCTCATCTTAACTCCGGTATCATCTGTCCTTTAAGTTATAAAAACTGACTTTAGGACCTTGAGCTTTCCCCTCATAATATCAGGAAAGGAAGTAATAACTCATGACTTCCTTTCAAAGCATTTTCTTAAGAAGTGTTAAACATGCTCAGAGCTACTAGACAGTTTCATCTTTTCTTTGAATAGTTAAAACTCTGTCTCTCATTTCGCACTTAGCTGAACATGATGAATTTAGATACTGGTTTAAGAACAGGTAGAGAGAATTTTTATAATTAAGTTACTCAACAAATCATTTCAGTCATGTTGGTTATCATGCCGTAGTTTTCAGGAATCGGCTACTTAATCAGCAATATAGTAGAATATCTATCCACCCTACACACCAAAATGCTACATTTCCTTTAACTACTGTTTGCAATTCTTACATTACAGTCAACTTTAATTTGGCTGTTTAAACTGTCCTTATTTCTGTCCCCCTGATCTTCCTTAAATCTGTTCAGAGTATCCTACTTTATTTTATTGTAGAAGACTGTATATGGTGCCAGCATATCAATTACTGCATTGCACTTTGAGGGCTGAGAACCTCCTCTCCAAAATGTGGTGATGATTTATTGAATTTAGTTATTAAACTATGGTCCATTCCCATCTGACCCCAGGAGTAAAAACGCTCTGCTGAATCTGTGGCCTTGCAGGTGTGGTATTATGAGCAGCTCTGAGATGACAGACTGAGTATCACGCCCAAGGTTTGCTACCCGGCATCATTCATCATGTTAAAAGTCTGCAGTGAGCTTTAGCTGCAAAAAAGCCAAAACGGCCTGGAGGGGTCAACGGTAAAAGGCTCCATTCTGCTGACTGAACAACAGGGTGATAGGACTTGATGTTCTGTCAGGGTGGTATACATGCAGCACGTTAGGGAGAAAAAGAGCATGCTGGATGTAAACTGACGCAGGCAGATTGTTCCCCGGTTGGCTCTGGTCGACATAAGTCAGCGCCTCCGCTGATAGAAGAGGGAAAGGCTGTGAGTGCAGATCAGTTTTCAAATGCAGGATCCACTGCTTCCTGTCTGTAAAAAAAAACAAAACAAGGATATGAAGTCCTAAAAGATGTCAAGACATAAAACTGACTCTACTGCATTTATATGAATGATATGAACAAAGCTGCATCATGAAGTTTTAAAAAAGAATCTGTATGCAGATCATTAGTAAAAGGTAAGATTATAAGTATAGATGGATATAGCTTCTGTGTCATTCAGGCACCCATCGTATGCCTGTTGATCTCTTTTGTGTCCCCAGGGAACTGGTGACTTCCTCCAGCAGTCATTGATTTTAAGGCAGGTAAAACAATTCTCCAGACGCTTATAGGGCAACACAGAACAAAAAAGCATTTGGTGTTGCACGCTCCCTTTTATGCAAAACACACATATAAGGGAGCTGTGGCTAAAAATATATTTATGGAAGGGCACAAATGAAAGGGTGTGATGTTTGTTTTTTACACACTTCTATTCATATCCCCCCATCATATTTGGATTTTATTTTTACTCTCTCCTACAAATTAAAAATTTGGTACAACAGAAAGATGCGCCTAAGAGTAGTTTAGAGAAATCTTGCAACCTAACTGGGATAACAAACTCCACGCAGAAAGACTATTGACCTTCTTACAAAGCATCAGTCTTAACACCTTCAACCCATGTCTGTGGAAGTAGTTTTCAAAATTTTCCATGAATAACATACATATGTATTTTCTCCTCAGTCAATATTTATGGAGACTGATTTTGTCTGGAGGGTGCAAATCTTTTGGGGATTTATTTACCAAGTTTGTCATACCCAGCAAAAGGAAGGCTGGAAAAAGTCTACAAACATCAGTTTGCAAGTCTTTAGATGCTCACAGGTATGGAAATTAGAATATTTATACCAAGGAGAGAATAAGTCCAATAGTACTGGGGATAAAGACCAAGACCAAACTGAGTATAAACAGTTCTGTAGCCATTGCTCTGATCATAATAGTAGTATTTTTTTTATTTATTTTTTGGTGTTGTGGTGTTTAAGGAAACTCTGGCATTAGATCATAGAAAGCAATCCTCTAAAAGTTTTACAGCATGGCAGGTTGCACTGTTGTGCCTTGCTTTTTCCATCCAATGCTCAGACACAAGATGATTTAGATGAAAGCCATGTGAGTAGAAACTCAGCTACATACCACTTGTCTAATGAAGAGTCTTGAAGTTTAACAAGTTGGAAAACATTAAACACACAAACCAGACTACATCCATTGTTGATGTGATTAATCCAGTTTAACTGGATTAATCCAGTTTAACTGGATTAATCAGAATAAGAGGAAGTGAACAGGTGAACACATACAGTATTTGTACTGTAAAATGCACCCCCCATCTCTTTGCATTAATTTGCAAAATTCGCAGCATTGTGCCTGAAAGCATTGGGCTGTGTAGTGATGCATGAATTTTAGAAATGACATTACAGGGCAAAGGTGATGTAGAATGGAGGCCACTGTGGACTGAAGCCTGTGTTCAACTGTAATGACCAGAACAGATCGTTAGGCAGCTCAGACAGGCCAGTTTATTGGGCGTAATATCCAATCCATTCACATCACAGGAGGTGAAATGCTTCTACCTCTCCTTGTCTTATAGGTTAAATATGTTACTGGCTCCGAATCTTCCGGTAAGAGACTAAAAAGGGAGAGATACAGTTACACAGGAGCTCTATTTAATTTGTTAATCACAGTATGGGGATCATTCTGCAGACTCCACTTCTGATTGCATCCTGCTCACGGATAATGGCTGGATGTCAGTCAAATGAATTGTTTGTATATATGACATGAAGTTAAGAATATCATGCATGGGAGGAGAAAACTTTTAGGTTATGATGGTAATATTTTTTTGCATCATTTTACTTTTATTCATTTCCCCCCTCCTTTTCTCTTGCTTTTATTTCTCTTTCACACAACTGAAAAAGTTTCCCTGTAATAATGTAAGAAGCAAAATGATGGCAATGATAACAGTAATGGTGCATTTTCTATTCCCCTCTTGGCTTATTTTTCTGCTTTATAAATCTCTTAGCTGCCTTCTGTTCTGGTCTCTGTGTTCCCTCAGGTATTTTGTGTTGGATCCAGAGCTCGGCCAGCTGCAGTACTTCATCAACGAGCAGGGGAAAGCCCAGAAGCCCAGGGGGTCGCTACCCCTCATTGGTGCCTCGGTAACGACTAGTGACGAGGCTCCGTTCATGTTCATTGTGCACTCCGTCAATGGGGAGCTGTTCAAACTTAAAGGTATGACCTCATATTAAGTTAGATTGCCAATAAAAAAAAAAAAAAAACTTTAAGTAAAATTGATGTCAAAGAAAGACTGCTGTGTTAAAAAGCCAATAACGATTGGAATTTTATGGTCCTTATAACATAGATTTGTCATGAGTCGCTAAACCTTCACCTCTAGTTTCAGCCTCACTGTTGATGTGAAGATGCTATTGGCATATTTAACTTAGTTAGGGTTGAAACAATTGGATAAACCTGATTAGACGATAATTTTCAACTAATTCATTAATTGATTAATCATTAACTGGAGTATAGAGACTGTAAAATGTCCCTTTAGCTGAGAGAGCAACCTACTTAGAGCAGTAATTATACAAAAATTGTAAAAACAAAATATGTAGACATTTTACATTTAAGATAAAAATCACTTTTTTCGTCTGTCAATATGCTCCATCAAGTGGAAAAGTTTTAGTTTCACCTGGTTTCAATTTTTTTTTATTCTTCTTTAGGGAACCTTTTGCTATCTGATTATTAATCGAGAAAATATTTCAAAATAAATCTTTAGTTGCAGCCCTAAACTTAATTCATAACATTATATGATTTAAGTGAGAGGCCTTTTGTGCACAAATAGTGGGATGCACCCGAGGATGCTACTATTAGCCACATTTTTAGCTCTTTAAATACTCTTTAATTGTTATGAAAGCTTTAAAAAGGATCAAGCACAAAATATCTAAAAGCAGTGTTTTAAAGATAGCTGTAAGCTAGTCATGCACAGGCTCTCACACCTACATTTTCCTTTTGTCATGGTGCCTCATGAAATAAAAACTTACATCATGCATATGTACAGTTTGGAGGTGTTTGTGCTTCTGCCTGGGCCAAAGCTGTGGTTCATGGAGAGTGGAACATCACTATCTCAATGTCCAAGAGTTCTTGGAATAAAAAAGATATTTAGATTTTGTCTTTAGTTTTTGGCTTGTTGATATAATTTTGGTTTCAGCTGCTATGCCAAAGGTGATATATTAAATTAGTTGAAGTGGCACTGTATATCATGGATGCAACTGCTTCATTCAGCATAAACAAGAAACTAATGCTTAAATAATGAACAACCATATTCTTACTCCAAAGAAAGCTTGCGTTCTTAAATCATTTAGAGAACTCTCATACTCCATTATTGGGGAAGGATTTCAAGATGCATGTTCAAATATGCTCTGCATGACTCCAAAAGACCAAGATATTATAATCACTGATTGCATTGCATTACTTATTCACAATATTAAATAAATAATGTAACAAATAATTGTAGCATAAATAATAAATTGAGTCATCATCTTAACTCTGTTTTAAAAGTAGGATAACAATGAATTAGTCTGCATTTTAAAAAAGCACCTTTCTTTAGAGAAATAGCTTCAGTTGGAGCCTGTACGCTAGCTGGTGGCTGCGCTGAGGGCCTTTGCTCTCTGTGACCTGTATCTACTGAAGCGAGGACTACCTCTTTTTACTGTTGCTCCATTTGAGCTGCTGGAATGCCCCTTTACAGCCTCAAGGGAGAGGATTTCAGAATAACTTGGCCTATATTCCCTGAATAACTCCATGATCCAGTAAATTGAGCCAAGTGAAGAAAATTATCCAGAAAAGTCTTGGTTCTGTACTGTGCAGATAAAATTCAAGTTCTAGTAACTTTGTGAGATATCAGAATAATACATTAAAACTGAGATCTAAATAGTTTTGATTTAATTAGATATCTAATTAGCTCAGACAGAAAAAAAACTGTTATTGTGTTGAGAAAAGGTATTTGGTTCTTACATTTTTTGATGTGCTCTTCAGTCATAATTAATTATTCAAATCACAAAATACACGTTGATATCAAACACGTAATTAAATACAGAAAGCTAATCTTAAATTACCATTATTTTAGTGACAATAAAACAACTACAGATAAAAGTAACTGTCCCACAGGGCTATAAAACGTTGTATATTCATTGGTACTAATAAAGAAACTCTGGAGTTTCTGTTTGATGGCACTTATTGATTTATAAATTCATCTTATGAAATGTATGTACATTTCCTCTTTGTAAAACTGTTCAAATACAGCCCCATTCCAGGGTTAGGGTTAGGGTCAGTGTGAGCGGCCATCTGCAGAGGCCGACTGGGGTTCGAAGAGACAAAAGTAGAGATACAAAAATCAGCTGTTAAAAGGCGGCCCGGTCCAGGAAACACACAGCCAGGCAGAACCAGCTCCCATGTCAGAGGATGAAGAGAGCACATCCAGTTAGTCACAGTCCGAGAATCAGGACTACACTGGAAAAACAGGCTGATCTCCAACATATATAAACAAAGATGTAGATGGCAGCAGAGCAGCTAATATTTCTCTCCAGGATGGTGTCACAGCCTAACAGGAACAGACAAGGCAAAGCTACTATGAGTAAAAGCAGAGAACAAAGTACAAATACTTCATTACCTATAGTATTCCGGTTAGTTTGACCCTTTGGCTGTAAAAATGATTAGATTGGTGTTAATTCAATTTATTTCAATTTATCTATACTTTTGTGATTAAACAAATGTCAGAAGCCTTTAACTGCATGTAATATCTCTGTCTAAATCTTATTTAATAGTGTTGCTAAAAGAAACAAAAGGTAATATTTTTTTTCTCAAAGAAGTGTTAATACAAGAATGTTTTCCCTCTTAAACTGTAAATTTAAACAGTATATAATACAATAATACCTTCATTTGGTCAATCAGCAGGGGTATAGAGTGCATTCAAGTGCTCCAATGCCTTTGATAATTATTTGCTTTACTCTGATCAGGCTTATGCACATGTCTTTCACAGGGTTAAGCTTTGGCTTTGAATTTAGCATGAAGTCAACTTTCAGTGTTTGAGCTTTATAATCTCACCAAGTAACTAGATCTTTATAAGGCAGCTCTGTTCTCAAAGGGGTATTGTTTAAGAAAAAAGGAGATTTCAGTAGGTTTGACTAATTTGTGCAAGGCACCACGGCCTGCTGGAATGAAGAATGATGTTTTTAGGCTCTTATCCAGTGAAGCACAGTGCTTTTATTGTCACACCTAATGTGAGAGTCTGCAAGAAATTATGTTTTGTTGCAGAACAAAGATGAATAGTGTTTCGTCTTTGTATTGCTGAGATCTGTGTTGGAAAATAAACCTATAAATCATATTAGGCTTCTGGTTGACACCTCATCAGATTAGCTATTTTTTTATCAGGATACAAACCAGCTCATCGGTTTGCCGTCATTAGGCCTCCAAATTATTAAAAAGCAGGTTTAATTCATTTAGATGGATTCCCAAATAAGCATCCAGTGAAGAATTAAATTAGTTATGGGGATATTAGGATTGTGCTGTAATTGATTAACTTTTCTTTCCTATTGATATGAAATACTACAGTTATTGTCCTGTTATCATTTTTAATTGTTAGCACTAGGTGAAAAAAACTACTTTTGTAAAGTCTAAACATTATTAAACTATACTGAATGTGAATTATCACTCTTTATTTTTATTATTTTTCCATAAAAAACCTGTTGCTCAGATAGAATGATTAATCTTCTAACACTTATGCAGTATCCCCCACAGTAGCTTCTTTTTGAGTTACAAAACTGACTTATAAATGGGCATGAAAGAAGACACACCTCTACAGGTATTGTAGTAGAAATATAGATAAAATATGTTTGTAAAGCTAAACCACCAGCATATAAATATATTAATTAATTCATTGATTCATTCATGGAATCCAGAATGTATTGTTTTATACAGGCATGTGTATAGGAATATACACTCACCGGCCACTTTATTAGGTACCCCATGCTAGTAACGGGTTGGACCCCCTTTTGCCTTCAGAACTGCCTCAATTCTTCGTGGCATAGATTCAACAAGGTGCTGGAAGCATTCCTCAGGGAGTTTGGTCCATATTGACATGATGGCATCACACAGTTGCCGCAGATTTTTCGGCTGCACATCCATGATGCGAATCTCCCGTTCCACCACATCCCAAAGAAGCTCTATTGGATTGAGATCTGGTGACTGTGGAGGCCATTTGACTACAGTGAACTCATTGTCATGTTCAAGAAACCAGTCTGAGATGATTCCAGCTTTATGACATGGCGCATTATCCTGCTGAAAGTAGCCGTCAGAAGTTTGGTACATTGTGGTCATAAAGTAAATGCTCAATTGGTACCAAGGGGCCCAAAGAGTGCCAAGAAAATATTCCCCACACCATGACACCACCACCACCAGCCTGAACTGTTGATACGAGGCAGGATGGATCCATGCTTTCATGTTGTAGACGCCAAATTCTGACCCTACCATCCGAATGTCGCAGCAGAAATCGAGACTCATCAGACCAGGCAACGTTTTTCCAATCTTCTATTGTCCAATTTCGATGAGCTTGTGCAAATTGTAGCCTCGGTTTCCGGTTCTTAGCTGAAAGGAGTGGCACCCGGTGTGGTCTTTTGCTGCTGTAGCCCATCTGCCTCAAAGTTCGACGTACTGTGCATTCAGAGATGCCCTTCTGCCCACCTTGGTTGTAACGGGTGGATATTTGAGTCTCTGTTGCCCTTCTATCAGCTCGAACCAGTCTGGACATTCTCCTCTGAACTCTGGCATCAACAAGGCATTTCTGCCCACAGAACTGCCGCTCACTGGATGTTTTTTCTTTTTCGGGCCATTCTCTGTAAACCCTAGTGATGGTTGTGCGTGAAAATCCCAGTAGATCAGCAGTTTCTGAAATACTCAGACCAGCCCTTCTGGCACCAACAATCATGCCACGTTCAAAGTCACTCAAATCACCTTTTTTCCCCATACTGATGCTCGGTTTGAACTGCAGGAGATTGTCTTGACCATGTCTACATGCCTAAATGCACTGAGTTGCCGCCATGTGATTGGCTGCTTAGAAATTAAGTGTTAACCAGCAGTTGGATATAGTTGGATATATATATATATATATATATATATATATATATATATATATATATATATATATATAAACTGCTGAAATAGTTGACTATGTTTAT